CCAGGGAAAAGTGCTTCAGACGGGGCCACTTGCAGTTGTTCAGTACGGCGAGAAAGAGGGCTAGATCTAGCTGACTCTTCGAGTCATACATCCCTTCACCCTTCTCCTCTTCATTGTTACTGCCCATATATTCGTAACCGCATTCGTACGGGTCCATCATGTTCAACATATCAGCATCATCCTTTGAACTGATGAGAATCTGCAGCGAGACCAGCTGGTCGCTGAAGCTCTCTATGGCGCACACAAAATAGGCCTGGTAGTTGTAAAACTTCTGCTGGTCGCCTCGCAGGACGATCTTCAGCGATTCCACGTGAGGAAAGGACTGATTCAGTTTAGTCGTATCCTCCAGGTCAAAGTTCTCCAGGTCATCAAAGCCGAGCGAAATGTTCGCCTCTTTTGTGATGGCTGTGCCTGACGGCAGGTGTTCCACAGGTGGCAGAGCAATGAAGGGTTTCACCGCTTCCTCGTTAATACCTTCATTGTACTGAATAGCTGGGTCGTATTGGAGGGGGTGCACCATCAGGTAGAGACCCCGCTGAATGTAGGCATCAGTACTGAGCGCCATGTTCACGGTTTTCTGTTCAGGGTAGGCCTTCAGCATGTTGAAGCGGTCTACGGTGGTCAGTTCATTGGCAACCATGGTGATCAGCTCGGGAGGAAAGTCGTCGGGAAATTTGACCTTTTGCTCAGAAACAGCTTTGGCTGCTGTTGTTATCTCTTCGTCGTCTGACTCATCATCATCATCAAACTTCTGGTATTTGTATGTTTCTGGGTAAGAAGTACCTGAAAGGAAAAAAATACACGGTTAGTTTTTAGTGATGTGTAATCTTTAGTATCTGCAGCGGCAGCAGCGTCAACTGTTTCAACTAATGAAACAACGTTGGCAAAGCAAGGTAAAGCAAAAACCGGAACCAATGTCATACCAGCCTGTTGGGGGTTATATTGAGCAATCTGCCCATCAGTCTCCTCATCAAACTCTTCATCTTCCTCTTCATAACTGTCGTCTGGAACATAGTGAACCGTCTCCTCACCGAACTCTTCATCTTCATCGAACTCATCATCCTCATCGAACTCTTCATCCTCATCTTCATAAATGTTGTCTCGATCATAGTCAACCGCCTGCTCATCCGTCTCCTCATCTTCCTCTTCGTCAATGTCGTCTGGGTCATAGTCAACCGCCTGCTCATCCGTCTCCTCATCTTCCTCTTCGTCAATGTCGTCTGGGTCATAGTCAACCGCGTGTTCATCAGTTTCCTCATCTTCCTCTTCGTCAATGTCGTCTGGATCATAGTCAACCGCGTGTTCATCAGTTTCCTCATCTTCCTCTTTGTCAATGTCGTCTGGATCATAGTCAACCGCGTGTTCATCAGTTTCCTCATCTTCCTCTTTGTCAATGTCGTCTGGATCATAGTCAACCGCGTGTTCATCAGTTTCCTCATCTTCATTAATGTTGTCTGGATCATGGTCAACCGCCTGTTCATCCGTCTTTTTAGCTTCATCTTTCTTTTCTCTATTCCATACTTTCATTTTGGAAGCACGCCACATTTTATACAAAACGTTCTGATGTCGAGGAGAGTTTGATGAACTCATGTTGGCGTAAAAATGAAGACAAGGACACACCAAGAGAAAAGAAAACACAAAGGAATTAAATTCACAGTGCTGGCAAAACAGATGCTGATTGTTTGGTTGTTGTGCTTGGCGTAGTGATTGTTTTCTTGCAAAACTGCTGACTGCAAAACAGTGCTGCCTAGAATGAAGAATTGACTTAAAGTTTTAGCGGAGTTTGAGTTGAATTAACGTACCGGAAGAAGTGTCAAATAAAAATGGCAAAACAGATTGACAAATTTCAGCGTGCTGAAAGAGAACAACTGAAACCTGAAGCTGCCTCAGTTCTGTTTTCACGTGCCACTACTTTCATGTGGTAATGGCAAAATAGCCGAGCGAACAAACGTTTTCTCTCTCTTTCTCTGCTACAGTTTCCACTATATCCACTTCAGTCGTCCGGCCGTTGGAAAGTTTTCTGTTATTGTTGCTCGATGAGCCAGGCTTAGGCAGCATACCACGGCTTTGTGCAGGCAAAGTTACTGGTGCAAACTGTGGCAGTGCGCTCAGTAAACAGTGCCACTACTTTGACTGATACTCAGCGCTGCTGTCCACTTTTTTCCGTGGCTGCTCTTAAAAAGTAAATAAGTGAAACTAGCACTGTGTGCCAGAAAGTGCGTTGCAGCAGTAGTCAGTCTAAAAGCGGCCAAAAACAGACAGCCAGTTTCTATGCTGGCAATGATCATCACTAGTAAACATTTCATATCAATATTTTTCTCCTTTTCTTAAAAAACTAAATTGTTGTGTTATACATTTTTTTACAAAATGCTTATCTACTTAAATTTTTCCTTTTGTATATAGTTTCTCAAGACTTAATTTTAGTGAGATTTCAATCATTTAAATTCAATTTATTATCAAATGGCCGATAGGTATGGCAGTCGCCCGGTGCTTCATCAAAGCCTTCATCATCATCATCATCAACAGCAGCAGAGCATTGATTCAACTGAACAGATAATCAGAAACCAGCACTGCAATACAGCCGTTGACAACGACGACGACGACGACGACGAAGTAGTTGTAGATGAAGAGGAGGAAGAGGGAGAAGAAGAAGAAAACGATGCCCTTGATGCGCTAGAATGTGATTTAGTAAAAAAGACTGATTTAGTTGAACTTAGTGACGAAAAAGAGGAAGAGGAAGAGGACGAGGAAGAGGAAGGGAAGACGATTGACAGCCACGAGGAAGACAGCGAAATGAGGCTGCTGAGACTGAACAGCGCCGGGCAGCTTGGACCGGAGCAGCTAGCCTCGGAGGTGCTCGCCAACATGGCGGCTCGTTTCAAGAACTTCGAGGAAATTCTCGCCGACCTGCGCCTGCAGCTAGTGGAGATGCGTTCCCGGGACGGAGCGCTGCTGCGGCGAATGGCGGCGCTCAATGAGCAGCTCTCGGAGATGCATCTCATCGAGGTGCTTGCACAAGGCTCTAGTAGTGGACCTCACCACTTTTCCTCCACCTCGACAGCAGCCACGACAGCCACCGTCAGCCCTAGCCATGGAGGTGAGCCGTACGGTGACCTGCACATGACCGACTACGGCGGCGCTGAGGCGCACCTGTCCTCGCAGTTGAAGCTGGCAGCAGCAGCAGCCGCCGCCGCCTCTAAACGCCCAAAAGTTGGACCGCCGGGAAAGGGCTCATTTCATAGGTGATTTAATGTGAACTGAACTGATGGTGCATTCCAACACAAACACACACACTCATTTACATTTAGCAATGCTTGATAGGTTTTAATTTGTTGTACTTTTAAGTATTCTGTTTTGCGTTTTTGTTTTTTGCATGTAATTTTAATAAATTACCATTTTTGATTTTGTTTTGTGTATTGTCAAATAATTAATCAAAACTGTTGATACTTAGAGAAAAAGTTGCAGCAACACAGGGAACTTTATTGATGAAATCAAACAAAATAAAGTGCAAAATTATTTGTTTTTTTAACGTTTATGTTTTTGCAAAGGTTTTAAAAAAGGAAAAAATATGCAGTGTTAAGTGCAGAATTTTTAGCATTTTTGTAAATTAAGAAAAAAATATATTGCCAAGTCACAGGGGAAAAAGGAGAAAATTATTAAAACAAAAAACGTATAAAAATATATAAATTATTTAAAAAATGAAAAAAGAGTAAAAAAAAGATAAAGAGTTGGATGTTTTAGACATAACTAAAGTTTAAGTTCAATTGACAAACTGGTAAAATGAAAAACACAAAAGAAAAGAAATATAAAAGAAAAAATTCAAAAGACTTAACACCAACGTGAAACAAAAATGAAATAAAAAGGACAACTCAGATAAGATCGAAAACAAAAACAACTTTGGTCCAAAGTTTAAAAGAAAAGAAAAACAGTGAGCTCATCAGTATTGAGAAGGGAAAAGGAGCAAAAATGGTGCGTTTGTTTGTTTGATTTGTTTGCGTGAAATAAATGAAAACAACGTAAAACAATAAAATAATAAAATGAGATTAACTTTGAGAATCCAGATATTTAGTTCGCTTTGAAAGCCGATGTTAAATCTTGTTAACACCCTTTCGAACCAATTTGAGCAGTGTCAACAGCTCTACGAGCAGCATTTCATTCTGTTTATTGGTTTCAACGCTTTCTTCTTGCAAGCTTCTCACCTTTTTGCGAAGCTCTTCAGTGGAAGTTTCGTTTCTGAGGGTAATCAAATAAACAAAATGTTGACAAAAAAACTACTTTAAAATTGTTATTACTAGTTCACACTTACATTTCCGAATCGCTCATAAGATCTGGGTTTGCGGTCAAGTACCGAGCGATTATTCGCTCCTCTAAGCCCTGAATGGCCATCACCGAGTGAAGGGTGCCCTCGCGTGGAATGAGATATTTGCGAGGCTTTGGAGATTCTAAATAAAAACAAAAATGCATTAGTTTTCAGTGCGTTAGGCTGAACTGCCTCGTTTTTAGCTTTCATTGAGAACTTACCGCCAAAAGCGGATGACTCCTCGGGTTCATCCGCCAAAGAGTCATTTGTCCCGTGATCGCCAAAACCGCCGTCACGGTAAGAAGCAGCCAGATTGCCCTCATCACAGTTGTCATCGTCATCGTCGTCGTCGTCGTCATCATCATCCCCATAACCGGAACCGGCGCCGATCATCAGTTTGTAGAACTGTCTGCCAATTTCTCCATCGCTACTGTCGCCTCCATCGCCCATTTCACCACTGCAGCCCATCCGGCCGGAGAAGGGAGCATTCGCCTCAGTGGCCACGTGCCACTCACCAGGAATGGAAGGAAGCGAGGAGAGGGGCAGGTAGGACAGATCAAGGTTTCGACTGGAGGTGTCACTGGTTCCTCCGGGAGAGAGCAGTCCACCGCTACCATTACCGCCATTACCATCACCACCATCACCCCCACCACCACCGTCACCCCCTCCACTGCCTTTACTGCCGCCCCTGTCAGCCGCCGGAAGTCGAGTGAAGGCAGAACAGCCGCTGGCCATCGTCGTCGTCGGACTGTCGCTCGACGGCGGCATCAGCGGACTGAAGCGCAGCGGCACCGGATGGCGAATATTCGGATCGCTGGCAATTGACTCGACGTTGTAGTCAAAGTTGAGCAGAGGAGGTGGCGGCGGGAACTGCCTGCGTTCCTGCGCCTCCTTCTGCTTCAGCTTTTCACCATCCTCCTGGTACTGTCGGTACTGCTCCGGGTACCGGTCCTGGTGCACGTACAGATACGTGGCCGGCGACTGATTCGCCGTGATGATCGACTCGATGGAGGTGCTGCTCTTTAGAGGACTGAAGGTAGGGTAGGCGGTATTGCTGTTGATAGAGCTGCCGGATGGTTTGGGCAAAGAAGGAGGGGGAGGAGGGGGAGGGGACTCAGTGAAGACGGTCCACTGATTCCGTCGGTAGTGCTGCTGCCGACTGGCATCACTTTCCACGCCAAAATAGGGCGTCCCGCCGGCCGACTCGCTAGCCGACTCCTGCAAACTGCTTTGGCGCTGGTAAATTTGTCGATGATGTTGTGAAGGCTGTGGAGGCTTATAATCATTACGACCATCATCCCCATCACCCCCACCTCCACCACCACCACCGCCACCACTGTCATCCGAGAAGTGGCGATAGTAGAAGCGAATGCCCTCAATGCCTGAGTTCTCCCGCTCCGTGACCGAGGGCACACCGGCCAGCGGCGAGGGCAGGTGGTAGACGGGCACGCCCAGACTGCCGTACACCTGCAGCATGACGGTGGGCAGCTTGTCGGGCAGGGCGACGCCGTTTCGCTTCAGCACCACCAGGTGCATGGCAATGCTGAACTCGGGCAGGGAAAGGGCCCCGTCGCGGTCCCCGTCAGACAGCTTCCAAATGGCGGACAGCTCGGAGACGGGCAGGCCGGACTTCTCGAAGAAGACCTTCGCCACGGTGCCGCGCACCAGCCCACGCAGATCGGGCTGCAGGGCGGTGAACTGGGAGCGGTAGTAAGCGGCCTGCTCGGTGGAGATGCGCCAGATGGCCTCTTCCGCATCGTACTCGTCCTCCTCCTCATCGTCATCATCATCGTCATCGTCATCGTCATCGTCATCGTGCGCATTTGGCGCTACTTCGTTTACCTCATCGTGAATGTCGTCTGTGTTAAAAAGAAGCAATTCAAATTTAATTTCGCTTTTTTTATTCTCTAAAATTTTACCATTTGAGCTGAAGGCGTTAATGGAAAGTGGCGTACGGACGACGCTAAAGGAGTCATCGAGATTGTGCAGGTCGGTGACGCTGCTGAAACCGGGAATGTCCGAAGTTCGGCTGGAAGTGTTGGGCGTGCCCGGGGTGATCATTTCCAGCGAGGACAGTGTCGGAGAGCTAATGGAAGAAGTGTCTCGCAGAGAGCTCTGTTGCTGTTGCTGTTGGTGGTGGTCATGATAGTGGAAGTGATTATGATGAGAGCTGAAGGAGTTAGAGGAGTTCATGGCGTTGCCGTAGTTGCTTTTGAAGAAGGTTTGTTTGAGATCGGGTGAAAATTAGTTCTATAGTTGCTGTTTGTTTTTATTGCATCTTTTTTAATGAGATCCTGTGAACAAAAAAATCATTAGTTCAAACTATTTGTTTTTTCCAAATACTAATTATTACAAAAATAAATTTTATTTTAAATAAACTTAAACTTAAAAATGTCTAACAATATTTAAAAAAATGCACGCATTTTTCAAACAGAAAAAACAAATTGAATTATTGAACGACAATCTGAAACAAAAAAACTTCAAATGAAACATTAATAAAACAGAAAATCACGTCAACTTGTCATGGAGCATAAGTTTGCCTGCAGCAAAGGAAACATTTGACAGCTAATGGATAACTACTAACGTAGACTGAACTGTAAACTTTACAACAATGACAACTAAACACATAAACGCACAAACACACGCAAACACGCATAAACACTAATGCTTACTGTCACATGCATTATTGCAGATAACTTAAAATCAAAACTTTTAAAGTCAAACAACCGACTTGAGTCGTGCACCCTAATAATGTTATGTTTTATTAACCGTTAGTACAATGTACCAGACATCTCTGGGCAAACCCGGTCTAGCGGCGACAAACAAACAGTGAACAAACAGAGCCAAACTACAGGCAAAGTAAAGAGTGCAAAAAAGAAGAAGAAAAGGAAAGATGCAATAAACTCAGTAGCGTAGAAAATGTGCAAATTTGTAGTGTTTTTCCTGTTTTTTCCTCATTTATTTAACCCTTTATTGGAGCTGAAATGAACAAAAACAATGCTAGGTAAACAGACAAGTTAGTGAAATAAAAACAAATTAAACAGTCGGACAGGTTTGAAAAGTTTACTTCTGTTTGTTTAGAGAAAAAGGAAGATAAAAAGAAAAGTTTTGTCAAACCCTATCAACTAGAGCATAGTTTGTTTGTCCACTCTACCTTGTGTACACTAGAAGGTTGACTGACTGACTTTCCATGCAAAAACTCTAACGGGCAGAAAAAGTACTAAACATGTAACATCAAATGCAAACTCTGGTGACACGGCCGGTCTATCTGTTCCTGTTTACCCTTATTCGCCCATGCAAACAGTTGCTCTCGTTCTCATTTTTTTCTGCTGCCCTAATCAGTACAACATGATGGACACTGTTCACATTGTGCGCTAATCTGCTGTTGTTGTTGTTGTTGATGGTCTTGTTCGAAATGTGTAGTGAAGGGAAATGAAAAGCCTAGGCAGGCTAATGCAACAGTGACTCACTAAGTTTTGCTGTTGTTCTGATGCTCGTCTGCCTATTTTTTTCATCTCATTACTACACTGGCGCAAGTAAGCATGGTAAGCAGATTAGAGCGGTGCACGGCAGTGGTGTGTACAACAGCAGCACTGAAACTGTGCAGCAGCAGCAAATGCAAGGAAAAGGCCGTTGCCTTTTGATGCCTGAGATGTTGACAAAGTTACTCGTGACCGTCATAATAGTTTACCGTCAGCAAAAAAATAGTTTAGTAATCTTTTCTGATTTTTCTATCTTTTTAGTTTGACTTACTTGATAGTTTGATCTTACCAGAATTGTCAACGAAAACTGAAAACGCACTTAGAAAATATTGGAGTGGATTGGACAGAAAAGAAAGAAAGGGAGAGAGAGAGAGAGAGAGAGAGAGAGAGAGAGAGAGAGAGAGTGAAAAAAGTGGCAAAAAGTAGAGTGGCTGCAAAGAAAATGACTGCGATGACTGAGTGCT